AGAATTAAAATTTATTTTAAAAAAAATTTCTGATTTTTTTTCTTGCAATGATTGTTGTTTTATTTTTTCGATATAATTTGATGAAAAAAATATTAAGGCAGTTTTTTTTATTAATTAAAACTTTTGTTTTAGATTATTATAAATTTTTAATTAAGATTTCATGTATAAAGAAAAATAAGTCATGTTTTTTTCTTTTTGAGAATGAAATCTATTAAAAATATAACAATGGATTAATTAAAAGCAAAATTTAGATTAAAAATTATAAAAATTAGTTGAAGAAATATTTTCTATCTTTGATTTCACTATATTTTAATGGATCCATAGCGAAACGGGAACAATTAGTTAATTTCTATGATATAACATATAAATATTAGAAAATTTTGTGACTTATTTATTTGACAAAAAAAATATAAATACCATGTATAATTTTTTTTTTTAGCGAAAACAGAAATTTAAAAATTCAATCTGAATTAAAAATAGAAAATACTTAAAATTATCGATGGAATATATGTTTCTTTTAAAATGTTTTAGAATAAATTACAATACTTTCCTTCCGATATTATGAAATTATACAGTTCATTAAAAAATTTTAAGATTTGACAAAATCCTATTCATATTTTTAAAAAATTATATTACAAAAAACTTTCTTTTATGTCCAAAATACGTTAGGTACTAAAAAAAAAATAGAAAAATGATATTAAAAAGTGAGATGTGAATAATTTTAATACGTGAACAATATTAATTTTAATCAAATTTATTTTGAATTTCCTTTTTGACATTCTCTTTATTTTGTTTTTTTTTAAATAATGTAACTATTGTTTTCTGAAGAGAAGGCATTTTTTTTTTTTTGGTGTAAAATCACCAAATTTTTCTATGGTTTCTATAATTTTATGATACCTCGTGAGAATTATTATAATTTATCCAATGTTTTATTTTTAAAAATTTAATCACATCTCACTTCTAAATATTATTCATCTAGACTCATTTTCACTGTCCATATAGACTCATATGTAATGTATCTTTTACCATACGGTGACATTTTTGTAATTTTTAAATCTTCTAAAGGTATTTATTATGAAAATTTTTATAGCATTACATTTTTATTTCTCTTTTTCAAACATTACTTTTTTGGTCTGTAATTTGTTTTTTTTTTTTTGTTTAATTTGGGTCACTTTGGTCTTTACTTCTCTTTTTTGTTTTCTCTAATGTTTTAAATTAAAAATTTTAAGCCAAAAAAATGTTTAGACAAAAATATTTTACAAAATAAGTTTTTAGTTAAGAATCCATTGATTTTGATATTTTTTTCTTACAATATTCTAAATTTTTTAATTAAGAATGTAGATAGAGATAAATAAATAATATTTTTTAATTAAAAATATAAAAAAATCAGTCAAATATAAAAATTTAATTAAAAAATTATAAAAATAAATAATTTTTTATTTAATTTTTATTTGATATATTCCAGTAGATGTAAAACATAACACAAGATATTAAATTAAAATAATCATATGTGTTATATTTGATTTGTAGTGTAGCGTTAGTAAAAAAACCAATTCACTTTATTGTAGGAAGCAAACTTTATGTTGTTCAAGAAGTAATAATCAGATAACCTACAACAGTAACCAGAAAGGGGATGTAGCTCAAATGGTAGAGCGCTCGCTTTGCATGCGAGAGGCACGGGGTTCGATCCCCCGCATCTCCAATTCTATTTCCTTTGTGGGTTTTTTTTTAACTTAAAACATTTTTAGGAAGCCCAGTTAAATACAAGGCACAAAACAAAGCCCATGTGGCCTACTTAATTCTCACTTAGAATTATTCAATCCGCTATAACGGGTCTAACTAATTCAAAGGCCCAAGACCTTTTTTTAAAAAAAAAATCAATGAAACATCCCATGCAATTTTTTGTTTTCTCTTGGATATAAATATGACCCGTTCACAAAATAAACAAATGGATAGATAAATCAGAATTCAAATTTTTTAGTTTGGACTCTTGAATCTTGCTCATTGAATCTATATAATTCGTTTGATGTCTAACTTCTGGATATCAAAACATGCATGCCCATGTACACGAAGAATAAATGATTTGGATAGCTACATGCTAGCTATATAGCATTTGAACCGGAAGTAGTATTGAGAAGTCTGAATTTTGGATTAAAGAGAGCATAATCTAAGTAGGAGCAGAACTTGTATCTGAGTCCCACCCTAAGTTCATCTTTCCCCAAAGTAACAACTAACAAGAACACCAAGCAAATTTGGTTTTGCTCATCTTTTTTTTTTGTTCAATAAAAATAAAAATAAAAATTTATCTTCACCTCTATGCATTAGTTTGGCAAAAACATTTTTCGAAACACAGATTATGGAGCATTTTGGTCCCACTGTTCAAATTTCATCGGTGTTCTGATAAACTATATTCAAAATGAATTAATTAAAACTCTTAATTGATTATTATACCCTTAATACAATACTAACATCTTATTATGTCACTACTATTAATAAGTAAATCTAACCTCACGTAAATTTTTTTTTAAAAAAGAATAATATCGGTATGATTCTTAAAAAAAGTAAATTGATTAACTAAAAGATAACCTAGCTATTTTTTCTAGAATGAATCCTAAATTACAAGTTTTCCAGTTTTTTCATTGTTTTTATATTTTTTTACAACTTTGAACCATAAATAACGAGCCACAAGCCAACAAAAAACATAGTATTAAAATCTTAAAATAATTAAATTACACAAAAAAAATAATCAAACTTTTAAACTGGATCCTTAGTTAATTTTTTATGGGCTATTTTTTGTTATTGTCTTGTGTTATTTCCGCATAAATAACGATAATATTAAATAAAAATGGTTCATTATAATATAATGTTGATTGAAACTTTTATAGTAATTATTATTTTTAGGAGTTATATATATTCATCATAACCATTCATCGTTAATTGTTTTGACAGATAATTCAATTTATGCTCATATTTTTTACTTAACTCCAGTTAAAAATATTTTATATGGTTCAAAAATTAAATAATTTAATTCAATTATAATTGTAAAAATTTATATAAAATTATTTAAAAATTAATCATGTTCATTTAATAAGTTTTCAGATTTATTTATTTATAAATAATATATAAAAAATTTAAAAAAAGTACTATGAATTAGTTAAATAATAAACGTGTAGCACGTGTCAAGAAACTAGATAGAGGGAAGAAAGAAAAACCTCAATTTAGCTTCAAAAATACTCTAATGGAGTCTCAAATCTTTTGTACTTACAATTTTTTTCTATAATGATCGACGGACAATGTTATCCCTCTATCCATTTGTTGTAGAAGACAACCGAAAGATTCCACCTAATTTACATGTTTTTATTATTGTTTCAAGGACAATTTTAGAATCGAATCGTTATAAAATTTCTTTTTACAAGCAAGAGAAGTGAAAAGAAAAATAAAATAAAATTACCACGATTTAATGTTAAAATTATTTTTTAAGCAAAACGAGGCTGATTTTGATACTTTTAATAGAGCAATTAACAAGTACGTGCAAAATTAGACTGCACCTTTGAATTGTCATTAAAATTAGATGAATGGATGGGTCATATTGTCTATTGTGGATTACTTTAAAGGAAAAGTTTTTATAAAATCAAAATGTTTGGGACGCAATTAATGATGAGGTAATGCTTTAGGGATTAGATTGAGGTTTTCTTGATGTAAGAAAAAAAGGACTCCGTTGGTGGGCCGGTGGCCTTGTTCAAATTTCAAAGGCTAGCCTTGTGTGGGCTTACGTGGTTAGATTAGCCATGGGTCGTCCATTTTCATATGCTTGCCTTTTTATTGAGTTGGGCCGGAACATCATGTTTTGGCAACTTCCAACGGAAACTTAGGAAAACGAGAAACAAGAAAGTAGCAATGCAAGCAAAAACGAGCACCAATGAAATTAGATTCCATTCCCTGAACAGTCTAATGCACGACGAGTCCTCTTTTTTACTCTGTTACTTTCCCAGATTCTTTATTCTTTCTGTTTCTTTTACACGGTTCTTAACAATCAGAGTCAACTGAAAGCAATTTTTTTCCCTCTCCTTACCCTCGACCAACACTAATTCCCACAATCTTTTAGTTTACGACGGACCCTAACGACGTATCAATGGCCGTGCATTTTAGAACAAATAAATAAAAACGAGGGTTTGAAAAGGAAAAGATAGCAGCAAAGTTTGAACGTATGCGTGATTCAATGACCCAGTCCACTTGCCATTGTCTCTCTTTTAAAACCTCTCAAAAACGAATCACACTTCATCCATATGGGGACATGGAGCAGGCGCACCGGCCAACTCCACAATCTACCGATAAATATCATTCTTTTTTTCTAATAAAAAGGTAAATATCACACCTTTCTAATTTGTAGCATAAATAGAAAATATATAAAATCTTGAAGAAAAAAACAATAAATTCTCTTTTAACATGGAACGGTCAAAATTAGAAGGTCACGTGCAGCCAAATTGAAATTGTCCATATTTAGCTCTTAATTTTGAAATTATTATTTTTACGTTATTATCAAAATTATTTTTGGATCTCTTTAGATCCATCTTCATATTTATCACTTTATTTCCTCAAATTTAACCAGTATCATTTTCTTTTTTGTAACACGTACAATTTGGAGATGAAAATTAAGAAAAAAGTGGTAATTAGTTCATATCCAAATTTTTATTTTTTATATAAAAGAAGATATGCATTCAGTAAAATATAAATGATGTTCTAAAGAAAGGAATTAAAAATTTTTTTTGATAAAATAATTATCTTATTGTGATCAAATGCCAAATAGGGTTCAAAAATCTCAATAGTTAGATAAACTACCAACCAAAAGAAAATGAAATAATCCTCAACAACAATAATAAGCACCTGCGCACCGTGTGAAAGAAAAAATAAACAAATAAAACGAACGGTAACAGCTGCAGCAGCATTTTATTCCCTAAATATTGGCGAGGCAACAAATCAGAAGCCACCGACTCCGTCACATGGTAATTGGTCAGCAAAACAACGCAAAGTACAATGCATAGGTAGGAGTAGGACGAATTAAATACGCGATAGTTTCACTCATTTCAAAGCCCCTCCTCCGCCACACATCTCTCTCTCTTTCGCTTTTACAATTTCTTTCAACGCTCAGCGAAAGTCGGAGAGGCTCCCGAGTATCTCTGAATAGCCTCCTCCAATCACAGCCACTAATCAGGTAAATGCACTGTATCATTTGATTCTCTTTCTCTTCAGATCTACTTCTCTATCTCGCTTTTGCTATTTCTATTTGTTCTCTCACTCACAATTCTCTTAGATCTGTTGTTGATTTTTTCAAAGGTAAATTATTAAGTTGTCAGTTCTTATCTGATATTATTTCTGCTATTTGCTTTACTAGATCTGGTCATGTACTCGTTTTTGCAGATCTGATGTGCTGTTTTTGTTTCAGCCTCAGTGTTTAGTTTTGGCAGATATGTTTTTGTTTTTTAAACTGTCATCGCTCATTGGTTTATTAGATCTGCTTATATTTTTTGCTTTTCTTTGTTTGAATTATGTCGGATCTATTTAACTACTATTCTATTGGTTCGAGTTTTGAAATTTCATTTCATACGAAAATATACTGTTCAGATCCGTTCGAGTTTTCTGAAGCTATGTGTTAAAGATTTTCCTGATATCCTTTTTACTTCATTACTTGTAATTTATTGCTGAAACACTTTACTCTTTTTATTTTCACATTCAATTTTCTATTTCTATTTGTTGCTTATTGGGTTCAGCGTTGTTTTAACAGAAAATCTGATTCGTTTTTGATATATTTGTTCAAACAGATTTACGTTGACTCAAAACAGTTAAACAGTAGTGGATTTGCTCTAATTTTGCTGGTTGTTTAATAACAAGTGTTCTTTTCTTTTCGTACTTGAGATCCATTTGAAAGTGCACGATATTATTTGTTGTTGGGATTTTAATTGTTTGCTTTGTATTATAGTTTTCTTCATGAATGAAGAACTGGTGCTGTAGTTAGGATGATAAATCTTCGTTTGCTGGCTGGTTTTGTTTTTTAGTTGATGTTTGTCAACTTGTGTAACTGAAAAGTGAAATATACATTTAATTAGGAAATAATAATTTTTCATGAGTAAAGCTGTTTAGATAAGGTATGCCTTACGTCAATGCTTATCGAAATTCTGATTTTTACAATTTTGGATGTATTGAATGTTTATTGAAACTGTTGTTGTGTTTATTAGTAAGTTTCAATTATCTGTCTTTTGATCATTTCTTTTTTGTTTTTGTTGATTTATATATGTGTATCTGCTTGCTATGATTGTGAGTTTGGCATGCTAGTTTTCTTTAGTCTTCTTCGATTGAGTACTTGGGCTCGTTGGATTTATGTTGCCCCAGGAGTAACCAAAGGCTATCTATTTATCTTTATATGAAGATTTTGGGTAATTATTATCCTCACAAATGTTTCTTGACGTGCTTTTACTGATTGTGTATTGGCTGCATTGTGATTTGATTTTTATAATCTGTTTGTTCTACTATCAGTTTATCATTATGTGTCCATATGTGTTGGTCTAAACACAGGTTTCTTGTTTGTACTGCCTATAAATTAAGTATTTTGAACTGCTTGTTATTGAATCTTTGCAGGGAAGGTCACAATGGCTGATCAGATTCAACACCCTTCTGTTATGCATAAAGTAGCTGGCCAGTTCTTTCGTTCCAATGTTTCCCAAGATTTTGGTTGTGATGGGGCTTTCCAGAGGCCTGCCCTATACCAAAGGCATGCTTATGGCAACTACTCTAATCCTGCTTTCCAGTACCCCATGGGACGGGCTTGTGCAGCAACTGCTGACTTATCTATGGTTCCATCAACTGCTTCATCTGTTCTTGTTCAAGCCCCCACAGAAAAAGGCTTTACCGGCTTTGCGATTGATTTTCTTATGGGTGGAGTCTCTGCTGCTGTATCCAAAACTGCCGCCGCTCCCATTGAGCGTGTTAAGCTTTTGATTCAAAACCAGGATGAAATGATTAAATCTGGCAGGCTCTCTGAACCCTACAAGGGCATTGGTGATTGCTTTAAGCGGACAGTTCGGGATGAAGGGTTTGGTTCATTGTGGAGAGGGAACACTGCCAATGTCATCCGTTATTTCCCTACTCAGGTATACAAGCATTTTCAAGTTGATATATTTTCCACTAAAATCATCGAATGTTTTCAATTTTATGCTCATTGCTTTTTTGAATCTGTCAGGCCTTGAACTTTGCATTCAAGGATTACTTCAAGAGGCTCTTCAACTTTAAGAAAGACAGAGATGGCTACTGGAAGTGGTTTGCTGGAAACTTGGCCTCAGGAGGTGCAGCTGGTGCTTCTTCCCTTCTCTTTGTCTATTCCTTGGATTATGCTCGAACCCGTTTGGCCAATGATGCCAAGGCTGCGAAGAAGGGAGGAGAGAGGCAGTTCAATGGGCTCATTGATGTCTACAAAAAGACATTGGCTTCTGATGGTATCGCTGGGCTTTACCGTGGATTTAACATTTCTTGTGTTGGAATCATTGTCTATCGTGGTCTCTATTTTGGAATGTATGACTCCTTGAAGCCTGTGCTTCTTACTGGAGACTTGCAGGTTAGCAGAAACACTTCTTTTATGCTTTACTTGTGTAATGAGTATGTGGTTGCAAGATTGTGTTAGTCACTAATTTAGGTTTTACATTAGCAACTGAAATTTAATCATGTCGAGACATGAATCATCTTTCATTTTGCATGGCAAATGTATTTAATTGTTTTGCTTTCTAGGCATTATAAACCTTTGACATGGTTCTGCTGTACAAAATCACATGCTCTTAATTTTAGAGTTGGAAGTTCCAATTTTTTAAAAAATTATCTATCCGCTGCAATTAAATCATTGTGTGTTTGCAATATGGTTGCTTCATCTTTATTAATTTTGGAAATCAGATCCAAGATTAACTATTTATGTTTAAGCCTCTTAAATTTTCTGTTGAAATAGAGGATTCAGTTTTGGTTTTTTAACATGTTTCCTGTTTGTGATTTTTACAGGATAGTTTCTTTGCCAGCTTTGCCCTAGGTTGGCTCATCACCAATGGTGCTGGTCTTGCTTCCTACCCCATTGACACTGTTCGCAGAAGAATGATGATGACCTCTGGTGAAGCTGTCAAGTACAAAAGCTCACTTGATGCTTTCACTCAGATTTTGAAGAATGAGGGTGCTAAGTCTCTCTTCAAGGGCGCTGGAGCAAACATCCTCCGTGCCATTGCTGGTGCTGGTGTGCTTGCTGGTTACGACAAGTTGCAGCTGATTGTATTCGGCAAGAAGTACGGGTCCGGTGGTGCTTAAAATCAGACGCCATATCTTCAATCTTGTTGTTTGATTTAGGTAAGATAGTGATGAAAATCTCTGAGAATTTAGTCCCGGCAAATTTTTCTTCAAATAATTCAGTTTTAGGGGAGTCAGTCACTCCCTAAACCATAATTTACTTCTTGGATGGAATTTTTGATTTTTGAAGAAACCTTATAATTGTTGTGGCTAATGCCGCAGCTGCCTCTTGGAATTTCAGTTATATGATTCGAGGAATGCATTCTACAGGTTACTTGATTATATTATTTCTAATTTGTTGCATGGTGCTGGAAGCCGTTTTTGTTTTTGCTTTTCAATAATTTTTATCAGGCGATTCTATTACTTTCAAACTTGTCTGCATTGCTTCCGGAAGAAATTGTTGTGTTGATAATTTGTAATGCCATCTTGTTTTCATGAAATTGAGGTACCTTTGGTCTTGTGGAGTTTTCGATCATGTTTTCAGTAAATATTTGAAAAATAAGTTTTAACATTTCTTTAACTTGATGATCTTTTAATTTGTGTTAAATTTTAAGTCCTTCAGCCCTGGTCATTGATTTCTGTACTTCAAAAATTTTTTTTACTTTGTGCTTGTGGGCTTTCTTGTACAATTTTAGCTGATGAATTGTTCAAGATTGATGTGTGGCCAGCGACCACACGATTCCTGTCCAAGGCGGGTTGTACATGTTATTGTCTATTGAGATATCAGAGTATTATTAAGAGGGTGCTGGGCTTACTGATATTATGATATTATCTTAATGGAAAGGAATGAACACAATGTATCGAACACGTCAAATCTTCAGTCGCATGGAATCCTCTTTTTTCCATCTTTGGTCTACTGTTATGGCATGGAAGAAGGCTTTGATATCGGAGGTAGTGAACCGAACCGAACTGACGGTTGAACAGCCGGTTTCATTTGCTTGAATTTTGGCATTTACAATGAGAGGGTCAGTGGTAGTGGTTAGTCGGTATCAATCAAAGACACCTCAGCTTCAATTCTTAACAAATATTAGCAATTGAACTTATAATATCATATTAGAGGCGTTCGATTTTCAACAGATACTGGCAGTTGAACTTATTATGTCATATAAGATTGAGAGGTGGCCAAAATTAGTGTTTTAATTTTACTGATGATCAGATTAATTACGTATCGTAACAGTTATTATGTACGGCTTCTCTTTTCTTTTAACACTACCAACTAATATGCATGATCTTGTTAAAAAAATGATAATAATAATAATAATAAATTGGTTATCAAAAATGGAAAAAGGGTTAAGACTGACATTGATAACATTGATATCAAGCCCACTCCATGAATAAAACGTAAAAAAATTAATTAAAAACATTAAAACAAAATAATAAATCGTTGTGTGTGTGTGTGTGTTTTTAGCTCAACATCAATGCGTCCTGTTAATTTACACTTAATTCTAATGTAGATTTTCACTGTTTATTGAAGTTTTTACGCTTTGGTCTTTTTTTTAGCTCAACATCAACCCTTAACATTTCACGGGTTTTTTTTTAATTTAGTAAAAAAAATTCATGAACAGATGAGATGTAATTGAAAATCTAAAATAAATGAGAGACTTTGATGTGTTATATAAAGACAAATAATTATAATTACTCTTACAAAATAATAGAAAATGGTTAGTGTTGTATGTATTGATGCATAGTTAATTTTTAATAAAATTGATGATTTAATTTTTCATATATATATATATATATATATATATATCATTATTATACTTAGTGGGTGATAATGTTTAGCATAAAGCAAAAAACATAAAAAAGAATCGATTTAACTGCAAAAATTGTCTCCAAACAACTACAATATGGCATCTTAGGCCTTTACTACCAATTTGAGTTAATAAGATCCTAAATTATTAGTTATTTGGCAAATATGATTTTTATCCATTATATTTAATTATCAAAGGATTGATTGTAAACAATCAACCTCTTCGAGATTTGTTTTTTAAATAGTTAACATAGTCAAAATATGATTTACATAAAATTGCTTGGTGGCTATTCGTTAAATTTTAAAATTAATAACACTTATAAAAAAAAATCAAAAGTACAATTTTTTTCTAATCAAATATTTCTATTAAATTCATGTTGATATAATCGTTAAATTAAATAGATTAGAAATAAAATAAAATATTTAAACATAGTATTAACTATATTAGTGTTAATATAAATCTTCAAATTTTTTCTAATCTCGTATTTATGTTACAATCACGTTCACATAATTATTAAATTGACTAAAGTAGAAATAAAATAAAATATTTAAATCTAGTATTAACTAGATTAATGTTAATGGGAATTTTCAATTTTTTTCTAATAAAGTATTTTATTAAATTTATGCTAACGATGATCATTAAATTGACACATCAATATGCTACTCTATCTATCTACATGAGCATGAATATTTTCTTTTATTTCTAATCAAGGGTTTGTACTTTTATTTTTATTTGATTATCTATACTTTCAATTTTAATTTTGAAATCTAACAAATAGCCATTATATAGTCTTATGTAGATCACATCTTAACTAAATTAACTATTTAAAAAAAAAATTGAATGTTAATGGTCAAAGGGATGATCATTGACGGTCAATTCTTTGACCGTTGAAGATAGCGAGATAAGAATCATATTTGTCAAAAAATAATAGTTTGGGATCCGGCTAACCCAAATTGGCGGTAAAGGCCTAAAATTGCCAAGTTGTAGTGGTTTAGGGACAATTTTTACCATTAAATCGATTGTTTTTTATGTTTTTCGTTTTATGCTAAACACTCTCAATCAATTAAAAATAGTTATGATGTATTAAAAAAATAAAATCATTATTTGTATTGAAAATTAACTATGCATTCATGCACACAACATTGAATGTAATTAAAGTATTTATCTGTTTTTATACAATATTCAAAGTCTCTCATTTGTTTTTAGATTTTCCATCGCATCCTATCTGACTCTTGGAAAAAATTTAAAATGTTTAATATATGTTTTTGATCAAATTTTTCGATCATAAATTTTTTTAATTGAATGTCATTTACTAAAATGTGAAAGAAAAGGACAAAACACTTACTTTAATGGCCTATATGTTCTATTTTTAAAATTTTTAGATTTTTCTTTTAGCATTTCGATCAAGAATATTTGGATCAAAAAATTTTCATTTGGCCGAAAAAATTGATCAAAAAGACAATTCGAATATTTCAAACACTCATAGATAAATGGAATGCAATTAGAAACTTAGGGTTATACGAGAGATTTTGAGTATTATATAAGAACATATGAATATATTTATCCTTTTTATTATTATAAAACAAATTTCTTTGAAATAAAATTATTGAAATAATTTTTTAAAAGAATCGCCAAATGATTCAAATACATTTTTTTATGCTGATATTATTGATTATTTTATGAATAAACATACAAATCAAATGCATATACTTCTAAAAGTTAATCTTTTCGTCAACATCAAATAAGAATAACAATTTATTTTTTTATTTGTTAATTTTGATATAAGTCAATATATTAATTGTAGTTTATTTTTTTAGGCACAATCTTGTGAAAAAATTATATATTTTTTCATTTGGAATAATATTTTAATTTAAATGGGTATAAATTTTTATTAAAGAATTAATGCACAAAGACGAACAAATCTTGTGAAAAAAAGTATGTTTGGTACAAGAAACATCAGCTATCCACAAGTCTGCTTTGTCGCAGGACTGTATGAACCTCCACCAAAAAAAAAAAAAAAAACTCATGTTTACCTATATAATCGAGCCAGTTTGAATGAATGAAAAACATTTCTGATCATCATTGAAATAAATAATCCATTCCCTTCCATTTGTTCTTACAAATCATACCTTCCAAAACCATCATTGGAGACATCGGTATTTTTAGATTTCATTCTATGTGCCAACACTGTTTAAGGAAAAAAAATATTGGTATTTTTAGATTTCCTACCATATGGCTTGCAGCTACAGCAGCGTAGCACATGTATTAAGTTAGTTTCGTCTAAAAGAACTTAAATACCTGATTCTTCCTACTACCTCATTTCTATAATCTATTTGTTTATTTTCTTTTACAACAAGAGTTTCTTGGCATCCTCATGGAGTTTGAGTTGATTTTTTCATAAAGGTTGGTAGAAAGTGTATATATATTTTTTTTGAGAATTTTTGGTTCAGCGAATGTTTTTACTCCGTTGAGTGACCTTGAAACGCACCGATGCCTTCCTTTTTTTCGGTTTAATGATGTAGAGATTTCTCTTGCATTGATGTCTGATAAAGACATTTTTGTAGTTTCGATTTGGACAATTAGGTCCTTATGAATTAGTCTGTTAGAGCTGAGGTCTTTTCGTTTATAGTTAACCCAATTTTCTGTTAATTTTGACTTTTGAAAGAGAAGAAGGACGCATGTCAACTTCATATTGGTTTCGATTTCATAAAAAATAAAATTTGATTAAAAATTTGATATTCTTAAAAAAATCCAACTTTTTATTTATTTATTACTACTGCTTATTTTTCAATTATTTTATTTATGTTTTAATTTTATCATTTATTTTACAAAGACAAAAAAAATGATATATATTTTTTTAATTTTTTATGGATTGTTCTATTTTTTGTATTTTTTTTCATTTTTTTAATTCCCAATTTTCTGGGAATTAGAGGTTTTACTCGGGTGATGGAGCAGACTAAACTATGAGGGTATAATTGTCCAAACGAAAACCACAAATATGTTTTTATAAAAAATTAATACCACAAAAATCTGTAATGTTATTAGTTTTTTTTTTCATCAGACAAAACACCATCCATTAACCCTTTCTTCTAGTTCCGTACTAGCTTTATTCTGTTTCTTTTTTTTTTAAAAAAATCTAATTAAAATCAACTGCATGAATCATCCCAAGCGATTATTTACATAAAATAATGTTAAATAATAGATTTGTGTTTGTTAAAGAACGGTACATCAACTTTAACATGATGTTATTATTTAGAATCATCAATTATA